GGCCGGTGACTTTAATGCTCAAGTAGGTAAACTAAGCGATAGGGAAAGACACCTGGGTGGATCTTATAGTGTCGTGGCTCAAAGAACAGATAATGGCGACCGTCTGTTGCAGTTATGCTCAGATAACCGCCTGTTCCTTGCAAATACTAACTTTAGGCATAAGGAAAAAGATCTTTTAACATGGCAACCCCCTAATTCGTCCGAACGCTGGACCCAAATAGATCACATCGCTATCAGCCACCGATGGAGTGGCTCGATAGAAGACTGTCGCTCATTTTGGAGCACATGCTTAAACTCAGATCATGCTCTAGTGCGAGCGCGTATTTGCTTGCGTCTTACTGGATGTAGGAAAGACGCTGCAAGGAAACCTCTTAGGGGCCTACTTAATGATAGTCAAGCTAAGAGTATATCTCAGGAACAACTAAGAAAACAGTTAGGCAGCCATGTATGTGATGCCCACCCCGATGCAGCATGGAATGATATCCGAAAAGCTGTGGAAACAGCAGTGATATCTGCTAGTAAGGTAAACCAGAAGGTTAGGGAGCAACACTGGATCTCAGCAGCATCTATCGCATTGATAGATGCTCGGAAACTCATTCCACCTGGCTCTGAACATAATGAAGAGCGGGGTCAGCTTAAGCGCAAGCTGACAAGAAGTCTACGCAACGATCGTGAACAGTGGTGGGTAGCGAAAGCAAGAGAAATGGAGAAGGCAGCGGCAATAGCAGACAATTGTTCAAACTTGTTACGGAAAACGGTATTAGAAAACCGACTGTTAGCGAAACACTCTCAGAGAAAGATGGACATATTATACATTCTCAATTCAGGAGATTGGGTCGATGGGCAGAACACTTCAGGGATCAGTTCAACTGGCCTTCAGCCACACTTCGGTTTCCCACGATCCCCAGTCAACCTGAATGGCAAGTTTATGTAAGTCCTCCGTCTCTTTACAAAGTTGGAAAAGCCATAGGAAATCTGAAGCGAGGGAGAGCAGCAGGCCCTGACAGGTTCACTCCTGAGATTTTTAAGGATGGTGATTCAGTATTAGCAGTGAGATTAACTGAGGTCTTAAGTAGAATTTGGGAACTGAACGTAATCCCATCTGACTGGTCTCAATCACTGATTGTGCCAGTTTTTAAGAAAGGACAAAAGTCCTCTTGTGACAATCACAGAGGAATCAGTTTGACTAATATAGTGTCTAAAATATTAGCCTCAATAATACTTCACGATGCTCGTGAAGAGCAGACTAGAGAAAATCAGGCCGGTTTTCGACCTGGACGTGGTTGTATAGACCAAATATTCACACTACGTCAGGTTCTAGAACACAGACACACGTTCAGATGCCCTACAATGGTAGTATTTCTCGACCTTAAGGCGGCATTCGACTCTGTTGATCGTGAGGTTCTATGGCAGTGTTTGTCACTGAAAGGAGTACCAAAGAAGTACATTACCTTATTCAGGCTCTCCACTCGAACACAACTGGTAGAGTGAGAGCTTATGGCGAACTGTCATCAGAATTGATTACCTCAAGTGATGTTCGTCAGGGTCCCCCTTCTTGTTTAACTTTGTCGTTGATGCGCTTTTAGAGATGACACCTTCCTCATCTAAATTTCCAGGGGTTGAACTTCTACCAGAATATTCACTTGTTGACTTAGAATATGCTGATGACATAGTTCTGTTTGGTGAAGACGCTGACAAAATGCAGAGTCTTCTGACCACTCTAAGCAACAATGCAAGCATGTTCGGGATGCGATTCTCCCCCTCTCGAAACGCAAAATGTTGCTTCAGGATTGGGTTGCATCGATACCCGAACAAGTGATAGGGAGTGAAGTAGTTGAGTGTGTCGACCACCTCAATTATCTCGGGAGTCTCATCAGCTCTTGTGGTCAGGTGTGTGACAAAATCTCAGTACGGATACAGAAGGCTCGACTAGCTTTTGCCAACATGCGTCATTTATGGCGTAGGCGAGATATCCGTCTACCAACCAAAGGACGTGTTTACTGCGATGCAGTTCGTTCCGTCCTACTTTATGGCAGTGAAACATGGCCGGTAATAGTAGAGGATATTCGTAGGTTACTAGTATTTGATCATAGGTGTCTTCGAAGCATTGCTCGTATATCCTGGGACTACCGAGTAAGTACTGCAGTGTTTAGGAAACGGGTACTAGATAAGGATGGCAAATCAACTGAAGTAGTGAAAATTCATCAGTTAAGTTGGCTGAGAAATGTTCTATATATGTTCAACGACCGACTGCCCGGACGAGCGATTTTTTATGGTGGAGTAGGTTGGAGAAAGCTAGGGGCGGCCAGACCAAAACATGGCACAAATTCATGGAAACACTGACAAGTGGACTGAGCCATGTTGGTGGGTGTAGACTACCTGGTTGGAGACCGCGAGATGATAGCAACCGATGATTAGAGACCTTGAATGGCATAGCTCAAATGCGTTTGCGCAGATGCTTTCCCAAATTCTTCACGTCATTTTTTCTCTTTCCAAATTTATTTCACTGGATTATACCCCTTGAATAACATCTCCAAACCCTAATCTTCCGATTAAAGCTTAGATTAATCTAAAAAATTCTACTACATGTACCGCTATAGGATTTGGATCAACAGTGGTCTTTATGTGCTTATGTGGTGTGGAAACTCGAACTTATGTATGTAGGTAGGAAATTCTACGTTGTTACTGACTGACTGAACATACATCGTAAATAGTTTTTATCAATATTTTATAAAATACCATTCAACTTTTAAATATACATCACTGATTGCAAGATATTTTATATACATTTAAGGTGCGAAAATGTCTTCACGATTGTTTATCGCTCATAAACTGATTCCTTGTTTCTAATAATTCTCGTACAATGCAAGCAACACACGAGGAAAACCCAAGATATTCCGTGCACTAATTTACCTGCTGTTAATTATCTGTCCTACACATACTCAACGTATACCTTTAAATAAATAGGATCACTTATTGAACTATTAATTCTTATAACCTTGAATATTTTATTTAGTTACTTAAAAACTGACAATTTTTCCATTTAATCTGGACCACCATCAACGAGAACATATGCAGAATTTAAATTTATATGATCTCAAAGAAACAGTACGTGTCAGAAAAATATAATTCAACACTGGTAGTATCAGGAATTAGTGAGTGAAACTGGTACGGAATGACCGTCTGCTCGAAGAAAGAGAGCGGCTAACGTAACAAATGGATGGGACTCCGGGTGCAATGGCTCACAATAGATAACAATGACGTCGATGCATACTCTTTCTTTTGCCTTATATAGCGAGATTAAGATTACTCTATAACTTTCTTTCTAATTCTTTATTTCTGTATTATATCCTTATATACAATCCTTCTCTTATATATTACTACGACTGAAGTAACTACTTTTATGATTATGGTGTTCATCTTGTTGTGCTAATGAGGTGTGACAACTTGGAACGATGTATATGTGTCTGGTCATACGCTGTAGCTGACCAATTATATCAAGTGATCCGGCTGAAGGACATATAGAAATAAAGGTCATAAGACTTTTATTATGAATAATGAATGTCAGCTTTATGTTCGAATGACTTCAGTGTTCTATGGTCACTAATAACTTAGGTCTCCATTGAGAAGTGTGTTGAGAGATGGCAGAATGTACAGAACTTCTCGGAAGAACAATTATAAGTAGAGACAAGTCGGAGTATTTACAATTGACATAAAAGTCAATTATTCGGCATTACACAATAATTATAATGAAAATATTAATCTCCAACCCAAGCTCTCTGTACATAGTTATGGAACACAGGTGATTTTGGTGGAGTTTTGTTCTCTGAGCTGGATGGTTTGGTCGCGGAGCTTTCATCGTTCTTCTGAACGACATCATCAGCACAAACTTCAAACCATCCAGCTCAGAGAACAAAACTCCATCTCACAGATGGTGATTGCTATTCAGTCGACTCTACCAGTGCTATAAAAAAATAATTGAATTGTTACAATTATTGTAACTCAAATCACTAAACTCAACAAATGATACTTTATAGTTTACATCTTAATACTACAAATACTAAACATTGTGTACGTAAAGTACTATTTTGTAATTTCACATCATACAAGTCGGATTATTTTTATTTAGTTTTCTTCCGTCTCGATTTTCTTTGGAAGTCCCAGTTTTCGTCCTAACATATAACTAGTCTGTCGTATTGAATCGTGATTTTCCGTAATGCAACCGTATTTTTATAATCTTGATAACTTAATGTGTAATTATCTGTATAGTTTGATTTCAACCAGTATACAGGCAAATATTGCACACATTGGTTATGTTATGTGTAATTGTTACATTGAAACATTCTTGCTTTTCGTTCTATAACAAACTTAAAATCTACTTTGCTAATTTCATTTAGCGGTTTTAAAGAAAGAACTGGAATATTTATCTCCGAGTATCATAGACTCAAAGCGATAACATGAAAAAACATTCCGACCGAGACTAATAAATAAGTTTAACAGGATGGACGGAACCATACACGTGATAGATCATCTTATTACACCTATAGAGTGGACTTATTCTGACAAAGAAACAATGCACTACTTCGGAATTTGTATCAGGTTTTCCATCGAGTCTCAAAACAAAAGAACATCATGTTTTCACCTTGCAGTTTATATGGCCCATAATCATAACGCGTAATCAATAAAACTGATTAACTTTATTCAAAAATAACGATTGCTTATGCATTTTGTTAGACAACAGGATGAGAAGATAAAGTTAATCGGGACTATGTCACACTATATTGTCTGATCTGATTAAAGGGATTAATTATTTTGTATTCCATAAAGTTCTGCTTGTGATCAGACCATTTACCAGAACTGAAAAACATCGGAATTGTTTGGTGCATTTGGATACTTCATCCTTGTTATTGAATTAACACATATTCCTTAGCGACACATCTATACCGAGCTCTAGCCATGCAGCGAAAGTGTAGATTTCGATCCTACTACGATTATGATACATTTATCTTTTTCTTACAAATTAAAAATGAAATTGATCAAAATTTGTATAAAAAGAGCTTAATAAACAATTGCTAACAAGTATGCTTTAGAACTTTTGAGAGCAAGTAGTTTCCTTGGGCTCTTAGCGACATCTTTTTAGAGAACATGAAGCCTATGATCACTAGGTTATTTATGACCCAAGGTTGGATTAACGTTGAGTGTGAGTGTGTGACTAATTTCCACTTTCAAACAACCATAGCAATTCATGCAGTAAATTAAAGAAATAATAAAAAGGATTAAGTGTTGTTTTTATCTATGAACATTATTTAATAACTGTACAGCTAACTCGCATAGAACATAAATGAAAAGATGTGCAACTTCATTATAATGAATTGGGAAAATATATTCAGAATAAAAATTATTTTATCTACAATCAAAATCAACAGAGGTAATCACTGGGATTAAATGCTTTCATCTGTAGAATGCAAGGACCAAACAGATAGTGCTGTGCTCAATTTCCAAACAAAATGAAAACGATAGGATTACAAGAAAGTAATGACAACAACGTGCAACAGTGAAGTACGTCAAGATTCCTACGAAAGGTTGCACGGTGGAGATAATATATTAACTAATTTGAAAGACAACTCGGAGATAATTTTACATGAATTAAGGAATTTCAACTTTATGCTTGGACATTGGGATAGCTAGACCTTGATTTTCATTGACAGTGACATCATGAGGGAAATTATGGAAAGTATATGACACACGAAGTTGACGTGGATTTTCTAGCAAACCAACACAGGGGTCATAGAAACCTTGGAAATCACACCACCGACCAGGTGGTAAGCGTAAGTGACTTTTTTCTATCATAGCTTGGAGGGGTATAGTCACATCAAACGTAAGCGGACCACCAGCATCAGATAAAGTAGTGGGATCAGAGGTTGGTGAAAGGCAACCATATATTGCCTGATCGATGATAAGACCGGAAATAGACATTTCATTCCGTTTACTTCGTGATGCAGCTCTCCTCATTAGTTCCTGAGTGGACAATGCTTCACGGCGTTTCCTGTTCAGTTCTTCGCGCAGTTTAGCTCTTCGAAACTTCTGTGCAATTTTTAACTGACGAGATAGATAAGGTTCATAGACCAACATGCGAATAGCCGAAAATGCAAGTATGGGGAAAATTAAACCGTAACCAAAAGCAACTCTGTCAGGGTGATCAGATAGAATAAAAGGAAAAGAATATGTCTGAGTACCTCGTAAAAGGCTAATTTTAACAGTTACACCTTTTTGAATGCTCAGACGAATCTGACCTGCGATTCTAGAATGAGCGGAAATTTGACATTGTGCACCTAGAGAGAATTCAACAATGTCTGTGGTGTTAACACCAATGGTGCATGATATATTGCCTTTACTGCGTCGCTGTTGTTCTAAATCACAATTATCTGAATCTGCCCAATCACAATCAGGTCCAGGAACATTTTCTTTATCAATTACACCAGATCCTCGAGGTGGATTTAGCCAAGTCCACGAGACAGACTTTTCCAGTAACAGGGAAAGGCTTGCATAACCGGATGCGTTAAGTTTACTTGAAATTCGAACATTATACTCACCGTCAGCAGAAGTAAATAACAATTCACTCGATATACCTGGATTCATGAGACAACGTAACTCCAAGTGTGCATGTACATGAGATAACAACTGGACATTTACACCAGCAGAAATACCAGGAATTAGATTTATACTCGACTTGGGAGATCTTTCATATAAACTAGCTAGAGATAAACCTAAACTACCATGGAGACGCTGTCCAAAAGTTCGCCTTGCTCGTATACCAGTACTCAATCCACGACCAGCGCGACCGTAAGAAAACTGTGAGAAAAACAAAATACAAATTTTTGAACAGTTTAAGTAGTAAAGCGCATAAAAATTTATTGAAGTTTATACAACGAACTGGATATAATGTTTATTCAGTAACAAATTATCATCTCACCTCGGTATCGATTGTAGTTGGACCGAAAATTGAATTTCTGGAGCAGTGATGCCGCCATATAGCAAGAAATGTCCCTATCCCTACACCATTATGGGCTGTCACCTGACCAGCTAAACTTACTGAGTTTTTTATGCTGATACCAGCATTGATAGATTGAGCAACAGAAAGCTCATAAATTGATGGAATTGGAATCAACGAACGATCCTCTGGTGGCTCCTACAACAATAAAATAAACAATAAGATAAATCAGCTTCACACCAAGCATTATAATTACGAGTAATCTAGCGATGAATATTACATTACATGATTTTACAGTATGATAGATAGTTAGGATTAATGGTTTAGATGATACTGTTTACGTTTAACTTTAGGATTCTAAAAAGAAACAACTAACTTTTAAATGTTTTCGTTTGGATAAAAGACAAAATTTCATTTATATCAACATAGAACTGAATTTAAAAGTTAGTGATAACCATTAATGAAATCTTGATCCGTGTTAAGGAACGTCTGCGCTATGCAAAAAGACTTGATAATTTTACAGAACTCAAAAATCTACAAATCAAATCGACAATAGTCGTGTATATCACATTCAAAAACATCAAGAACATAGTAAAAATATTCGGAAGTGACTCCTTAGCAGTAAAGAAAAACAAGTAACAGAGTTGCTTAGTGTGTTGCTAAATCCTACTGTACTTGACCGAGAATCTAATCAAACTGAAAATTTTTTCAAAGGAATCATACCGAACCCGTCCAACACCACACCATATACAAAAATACGAGTGAAATCGATCGATTAGATAACAAACCACTTACATACAAATGCATGTTGCACAAGAAATCATCTTTGAACAAAATAGTTGATCTTATTTACATCTGCACAATTGTAGTCGATTCTGAGCAACACCGCCTAACGACTGGTTTTAGTTATCTTATTGATTCAAACCAGGTGGTTCGGATCTACTGATAGTCAATAATTTCGTGAACTGATGTCATCTTTTGGTTTAGCTGAACCCTAGCTTTCTTCCAACCTCAGCAAACATTGTGCGTTGAGGTGGGTCGTGTTTAGATGCAGGTAATACATGTCCTAAAAATATCAGTCAATGAAGATTTACATTACTATCGACTGATTCAGTACATCTATTTATTACAATACGTTTAGCCTCGACAATACTCACTTGGAGGTATCAACATACACGAAAAGTGACTTGAAACGATTAATGACCAAGAATTTGACGTCTACACAATCCTCCTGACTTTCCTAATATGCTTCACGAACTTTCACAGATAAGAGAATAAAATCAGATGTTCTACACCTTTATCCTAAGCAGTTTCAACATAAACAGTAAAGGATTGAAAAATTTTGAGGACCTATCCAATGTCTATTATATCAACTAACCTTCAAATAACGATCAAAAACATCCGTTAAATCTAAGCCAAGAGAAAATTCCGAGGTTGGTTGTGTCAACTGAAGTTGCTTTGAAACTCGAGCTTTTTCTTTCAAAAGAAGATATTCCAAACGAAGTTCAGGTGCTGATTTTTGAAAACTCGCTATTTGCCACCCCTGCATTTGCAACCCTACAAGGTGTTGTAAAATAGGTTGATTGTAGCGTTTTGATTCATATAATCCATAACAATCACTAACAGGAAAACCACCTAAAACTTTTTTGAAATCGCTCGATAATTCTGGATGAAAGACTGAGGTGAACATGGCGTTACATTAGACTGACGTCTGAATCGAGATATGGATACAAACGTAGTTTACACTAAATAATATTGTCAGGCAAATAATAAAACAGGAGATTAAGAAATCCATAAGATGGGTATGGCTAAAGGTGAATTCTGTACAAAAATAAGTGTAGAAATTGAATGTAGTGAATTTTTTACGTAAAAACCAAATAAATTTTTGGGCAAATAACTGTGGGTGTGACAGTTTACTCTGGCTTAAAGAAATAGATACTTTGGCACCAACATAATAAAATAGGAAGCTATTTATAAACAGAAATAATTAGGAATACATTGTATGATTTTCAATTCTACTTCGATGTTCTTGATAATTTCTTTATTTTGTGTGTCACTATGTGAACACTTGAGGTGATATACACATATCCCGCGTTCTATTTTAGTTGTGACTGAATTGTACTAATAAACTTGGACGTTGGATATAATTTCACATGGTTAAATATGAATTATATACAATACACAAAAATTCTTAATCACAGCAATCGAACGATACCGTGACACTGAGCTGGGACTATAGTTGTGCGAATAACTCACCTTCTTTGAAAGTCAGAAAGACGGCTGAATATCAACAAAAGATTAGATATACACAGTTCAGCAATCTACATAACAAAATTACTTTATTAGTTTAAATTTCTGGGATCCAAGTCTTAAGATTATAAAACGTATGTATATATTTATTTTGAGTTTTGGAGTATTTAGGAACCCAGATTAGTCTAATATCATTTACATACCATAATTATCAATGTTACTCGAGAGTCAGTCAGCAACAAGGTAGGACCAGGCACATGTGTGGATCGGTCCAAGTTGCCATACCTTATTAGCACAGCAAGATGAACACCGAATTCATAGTAGTTAATTCAGTGGTGGTAATATATAAAAGAAGGGTTGCATATGAGGACATAGTACGGGAAGATAAAATTAGTTTGTAGAAAGAAAGATATAAAGTGATTTTAATCTCATAGTTTAAAGAAAGATAAAAGAGTGTATGCACCGACGCCATTGTGATCGATTCTGAGCCATGTCACCCAGAGTCTCCAACCATTGGTTACGATAGTCACGCGGACCCCAACCAAGTAGTCTGCATCTACCAACATGGCTCAGACTAGAAGTTAGTGACTTTGTGGACTGATGGCACGTTTTGGTTTGACCGCTCCTGACTATCTTCCAACCATCCTCGAAACCGGTTAGCACGTTGTGGCAATCGGTGTCCAGGTATACGCAACATGTGGCCCAACCATTTCAGTCGATGACGATTCACAACCTTATCGACTGATTAACCATCATTCCCTAATACCGTGTGTCTAACCCCACTATTACTTACCCGGTGATCCCAGCAGACCAGCAATATTTCTAAGGCATCTGTGGTCAAATACTAGTAGCTTACGAGTGCCATCTACTCTTAGTGGCCATGTTTCGCTGCCGTAAAGTAAAACGGAACGAACTGCTGTGCAATATACTCGTCCCTTAATTGATAAGTGGATATCTCATCTTCGTCATAGGTGACATAGTTGACAAAAACCAAACGAGCTTTCTCAATCCGTGAAGAGATTTCGTCAGACACTAACCCATTAAGGCTGATCAGACTGAAGATAGGTGAAGTTATAAACGCGTTCGACTACTTCACTCCCTATCCTTAGTTCAGGTGTTGACGGAGGCCAGTTCTGAAGCAACGACTTGGATTTATAGGTGGAGAAATGCATCCCTAGCATCCTAGCATTGTTGTTCAATGCTATTAAAAGACTGCATTTTATTAACATTGCCATGTTAGACGATGTCTCTCCTTATGCTCAAAATTAGTTTGCTAAAATTAAACGACTGTCTGAGCACAGTTCAGCAGACGATCACCATTATCTGTTCGCTGAGTCGGACTACCGAAATTCCTACATAAATGTCTTTCTGCTTGGTTTAAGCTACTCACCTGGGTATTTAAGTCACCCCCTACGAGTACTATGTCTGAGCGTTCAGCTTTTTTGATGAAGTTTAGAAATCTTTCTGCAAAAGTCATTTTTCAATTCATCCGGGCTGCAGTCAGTGGAAGCGTAGGCAGATACAGCAAAAATGGCAACAACGTATGTCCCTATCCTCCCGAGATTTTACGGAGCCACATAGCCGAACAGCAAATAGGCGACTGTTAACAGAGATCTACTACAACAGTGCTTGTACCGCCCTCGTACTTAGTGCTACGCCTACAGCTACCGGTCCACGAGAACTAGTCATCGGATAGCCAGATATACGAAGAGTGTATCTCATTGGCTTTCCCTTTTTGTCGAGGTGAGGTCAAGTGAATGACCACACTAGGATCCTGTATACGTGTTTCGGAGACAGAATACATCAATGGTATGAGATTCTAAAGTCTCAGTCAAGTAGACGTGTTGGCTGATTTGACACAGTGAGCGTACGTTGAAGGCTCCAATGTGTAGTTTGAAGCGAGGTTTTAATAGACCTATGACAGTGATTTGCGCACTAGAACCGTTGGCTATGATGACACTTGAGGAGGAAGTCAAAAGACAAAGTTTAGAGTTGAGAGTCGATGTGGGAGGAATAACAGGAATTGAAGAGAAAAATTGATTATGAATAAAGTGATCTTGGGTGCTGTTAGAGGTATGAAGGCGGTTATCACCTCCCGGTTGCCCACACCGTGGAAGAATTCTTCTGGAGGCATATGAAAAGGAAAGTGGGTTAGGGGTGATCTTAGTGACCTGAGAGCGTAACCGCAGTGCCCAAGGGACAACTACCTGAGGTCTGTCACACACGACCATTTTGTGAGAAATTTTCGTGTTAGCTTCGTACTTGTTGAGACCTTACTGCCGGAGACGGATATCCGTGGGATAAGGTGAGGTGCTTATTTTTAGGGTCGACCTTTTCTAACTCCAGCTCTCCTTGTGGGAAGGCAGCATCGCTGATATGCCAGTTGTCTGAAGGAAACACCTTACCGCCGTCACACTTCTGTACAGTCAGCAGTACGACTTCACCTTCAGACCTTGGGTTTGCTACTTTTAGTCTCACCGCTCTCCAGTCGACCTGCTTGGCATGGCAGGACCTTGAGGAACGATTGTCAAAGTCAGTGTAGCTCGATTGGTTCATCATGATAGGCAAGCCCGATCACCGCAACGGTCAGGTTTCCCTCGAGAAAATTATCCTGGTAATTTACACAATATGAATATGCTATGGAAGCAATATTCCTTCCTAATATGTTTGAAAACCCGTCAACAGACATGTGAAGTGAACGAATATCTTAAACAATATATGCTAAGGTACTATAGTGAATTGTCTGATTTTTTAATTATTTATTTCATCAGTATAAATAAAACTGGTGCAAAATCCACTTGACTAACCTCTATAACCAAAACTATCATAAATAGCACGTTGTTCAGGATTGCTTAAAATCGCATAAGCTGAAGCAATTTGACTGAATGCAGCCACCGCATCAGATGAATTTGAATTAATTTTCTCATTGTCTTCTGGTGTCGAAATAGAATGCTTATCCGGATGGAACAACAAGGAAAGACGTTTGTATGCCATGCGCAGATCAGCTGCCGATGCATTTTTGTCAACACCCAATACGGAGTACAGATCGATGCTCTCATGTTCATTACCTTCAATATCTTCTAAAAGATTAATAAATTCGGGATCGACTGGTTCATCCGAATCATCTGCAGAATCAACAACTTCATGTCCTTGATAAGAACTGTCATCAAATTTTGAGTTATGGTCTGCGTACATGTATGGGACAGAAGATTAACAAAATTAGTAATATGATTCCCAACACAACAGCGTCAGTTTGAATCTTTAAACAAGAAAGAACCGAAATATATGTGATATATAAGAATGCAGATTTACAAATAGCAATTCTTTGTAAGGCATCGTTAACTAGCTTATCAACAACTTCAATTAAACCTATAACACACTACTGTGTGAGAGGGTTACCGAATAACCATGAAAAATATTAGTTTTCTGAGCACTAATGACCATTTAACCACAACATTGATTCCTAAGCATTGATGATGTGTAATCAGATAATTATAATACTAATACTTAGTGATTCTTTATGATCATAATGTACGTATCTCAAACAATTCATAAAAATAGTTCACAAAAATGTACACACCATTTTTAATTTAGACATAACATAAAAAACAAAATAAATGAATTGATGATATGCACATATGTGCCTGGTCTTACGTTGCAGCTGACTGAATTGGAGACGATTATCAAACACTAGCCGTCAAGTTGTTATTGATACTATTTCTATACACAAGAAATCAGGTTACGTAAGTTTAATAGGTAAAACCAAATTCTGACCACATGAACAAGGGTGAACACAACCACTTTTGGTCACGAAATATTAACCTATAAAAAGTGCAATAAAGACCGGAGCTTGTGTGACAAGACAACTCATTGTGTTCATAAAGATTTTCGTGTTGTTAAACTGAAATACACGTATTCGGACGCGATGGTTTTCGAAACGAACGGTAATGGGTTTGATTCCTGAATTGAACACCAACCCTGGGACGCAGGCACATCCAGATGAAAGGTCCAAAATAAGACGAAGTGAATGCCCTGGACATTATTGCTAGCCACCATCTATTTCTGCTCATAAAAAGTTACATGTTGCGAGTAATCCTTCAGAACGAGACCTGTCACATATATATTCATCACAATGACGATACTATTTCTTTGCTTCAAAACTACTATTCTTAACTTAATTTTTGACAATATAATACGGCGCATTGTAACATGTTTATTTAGGTATTCAAACAATCAGGCTTTAGGAATAAGCCAAAAAATGAACATGGCTGAAAAACCATTTGAAACCAGAAAAAAAGCGCAGATTTTTCACAGTAATTTATTCGAAATATACATTACAATTAGATAATCGAGAAACCAACAACACGAATGCAGTCAGGAACCTATCATTGTTATTATTAATGGATTTATTGTGTTATTTATTAATCTTCATCCATAGCTCCTGGTTGACGAGGTTTCGGTCCACCAGCTGGGCGTGCCATAATAATCTGAAAAGTTTTCCGAAACAAGTGAGTTAAAAAACCAGGCATAGACTAAAGGGAGAGACAGATTAATCTTCTGGAAATCAGAAATCAGATATACGTCAACTAATAGTACCTCAGTGATCTAATAACCATTACAAAATGTAACACATTGTCAGTATGAATAATTCAAGAGGGATATATAAATGATAGACAGTTTATTCTATGCATTGATAATGATGGTATAACAGAAGCATGAAATGTACTGCTTAAGGGTTAATTCAACTATGTATGTGGTTACTGAGCTGTTTCTGATATAAATATAGCAGTGCTGTGGAATTCGAATATCAAAAGAAATATGACTAATTAGATATGAACATTTTTCTAGCGATCAACACTCGTAAATTTGATATTACTCTTTTATAGTTTGCTTATAACTTATTTTTACCACTACAAATAATAAGTCAAATCTCTATTCTAAACTCAAAGGGACAAATATTGAGCGGAACGAAAACTACGTTTTGTAAAAAAAAATAGATTTTTTAACTAAAGGCATCAAAGTATTTGTAAATGTATTCATTATCAATCGATTTAACACTTGCTAGATTAATATATTAACATGAATACACCTACATTTGACAATTAATTTTAAAATATTTACCTGATCGACGCGGAGTATAGTGTTCGCAGCATTTGTCGCAAGTCGAATAGCCCAATGTTTTAAAAGATGGAGATCCAAAACCTCGAATTTGACAGAATCGTTAACAGATACTTCACCATTTGGTTGAGTGACTAAACCAGTATGTATTTGACCAGATTCATGTTTAGCGTACAAAATAGCAACTATTTCAGTGATCTTATAGAAAGAAGACAGGTGAAAAGAAAAAAATTAATCTTTGTCAGTATGAGGTTGACGAGATTGTAGAATGTTACTAAAATTATGAACCGATTTAGATTGGAAAGCTATTGAAAACCTGGAAGCACTGGACAGCTGTTTCGTGCATGTGAATAAGTAACAACACTCTCATTACAAAGAGCTGTCTGTTACAATGTTTACAGATTGGTTCAAAACACTGGGGATTACTGTCGCATGAAATAAGAGTACCTTTATACACAAAAATCAATTCTTGATGTGCCCGATAAAGCAAAAACCAATAAAATTACAAGACAGTTATTGTGACACTAGCTTTATTTATATGAACTTGTAGTAAAAATTAGACAAATATATTAAGGCTCACAAACCTTCTGTCCAGAGTTTTCGGCAAGTACTTTTACAACAACCTCAAAAGCCCGGGCAAACTCTCTGATAGCATACTGTTCAAGACCAGGTACTGTACCAGCGTACGATACGAGACGGCGAGCCAGCTCTATTTCCGTTGCTCCGGCACCTGCAACCAATTTAGGACTACGCGTAAGGCATTTGAATGTGTTGACACCATCATCGATAGCACGTTCAACATCATCCATTATGTTTTCCGTACTTCCCCGAATCAATAATGTAACGACGGTGCCCTCATGTGTGTCTGTCAGAAATCAGAAATAGAAATTATTAACTGTGACTGTTGTAATCAGAACTTTTTAAAATCAGGTAGAATGATATCCCAGTGAACTAACCTTGTTCAAAAATAACTACACTTGCGTCAGCTATTTCGTCCGAATAAACATGACTAATGGTCCCAAGTTCCTCAGGAGTGGGTGTTACTAATTGAGGGAGAGCTGACGCACCGGTTGCTTGACAGAGACGTCGAACATCAAACTTGCTGCTGAGCTTTACTACCATCATATTCAATTTGTTGGCGTAATGTAGTGCCAATTCCCCAACTTTGCCTCCACTAACGATAACTTTCACTCCAGCATCCGAAAGAGAACGCATATGCTGAAAACGTAATATTAGTGACAAGTGAGTAAATAACAAAAGGTAATAAGAGTTATAGGTTCCGACCGTATCTACAGTTTATAATGCTAGTAAGGTGTGAAGGTTATAAATAAATAAAACAATCTGAAATGTGGTGGTAATAATATGCCTTTTGTTTGCGGTTGAAAGACAGCTCAGAATAAGTAACGTGTTTGGTCTACAGTATTATGATTTTGCAAGTGAAACTTAAAATTTTTGTCGTAGACTAGCTAAGTGAAAACCCAAATCCAGGGTACTCACATGAAGTAATTTGTCTTGCTTGTAATAAATAATGTGGTTTGAATCAGTGACCGATATTAAATCACAATAGCTATCAAACTGAGTAGTATACTTTCCATATCTCAATTATAACAAATACTTTGAGTAAGCAGATACTAAAAACGAATTCAGGTAAACACACGCAAAAATAATTTACTTTTTCCATCAAGTCCTCCTCTCCCTTACTAAATTTTGTGAGTTCATCCGCAGATGTAAGTAAAACTGTTCCTTTTGTTTCCGTTTGAAGGGCATCAACGGGGCAAGAGAAAATTGCAACTTTTCCATTAAAAACTTCCTTGACCTCTCCTTCGGTTTCCCGACGAAATACCATACCTTTAATCATTTTCGACTGATTGACACCAGCACCCTATGAAATTGTTAGGTAAAATGGATAATTTAGATAAAGTTACATCAACTGAAATACAATAACCAGAAGAGATTCATGTCAAATAATAAAGGCGAGCATTTGAAGTACAGTATCGTTAGTATCAGAATAAGACAATATTTATTGAAGTATTAAAATGGAACTAAAATGTGACAATTAAAGGTAAAACGGTGCAAGAAACTTATTAATCGTCGGGATTTGCGACCATCACGTAGAAACCATGCTTATTGAAATTTTAATAGGAAGTCTGACATTAGTAACGGCACTTTGGGAGGCAAATGAAAATAAGTAAACTAAATATATTTACGTTTTGATTTGTCTAGAATAAAAAGTAATTTCATGTTTCAATTTCTTTAATTGGATGTATAAATGATTTTCTATCACTGACTTTTTTTATTTAGATGGATTTATGCAAATTACAGTAAAGAACACGAATACCAATGCACTTTTTGGCTCGGACACAAGTGGACTTGCTAGGACGAACACTAAGTCAAGGCTGATTAATAGAGCAGCCACTGAAAGTGTAGAGGTCTTTATAACGCTGAATCGGGTGTGATGTCTCATACTTTCCATGCACTACTTTAAGAAAATTTAATCACTCAATTCGCTTTCATATGTGCATTATTTGGAGCGATTGCGATTAAAGCTTGACGTTGACCGATCTAAGATGAAGATATTAAAACTCAAGGATATCCAAGAAATACGATTAATCTATGTCGACACTGAAAATTGTGCAATAGGTATTGGGAACAGCGCTTTTACCTATTTCAAAATGAGCTAGAGATATCATTAGAAGACTGATAGACATCAACACAGAGCTCCCTACAGATGTGCGTTGCTGCGAGCTGTCACATCTGATTAGGACGACGATATGAGTGACATTGGGTCAAAGTAATGTAGTGGCAATGATAAAAAAAGGTAAGATTAAACCTTACGAATATGATTTAAGGACAGTGGAGAAGTACGTAGGAAGGGATGCTCGGATTCAAGATAGAGGGACGAAAGATTACGACCATCACCCGAAGTCATTAGTACAAACTTGGTTAATTTTTAAACATAAACAAGTGAGATTATTTCTTCAATTTTTCTGGTTTATTGCAAGACAGTAATTAAAGATATGCTTGTGTAACTTAACTGTTTCGTTAAATATGGACTATATCTAGGTTCAATTATTTTAGACAGTGAAGTACAGACATTATGGACAAAAAGTAGTTATGCCGAGTGTGACTAAATGTTTATTTA